AAAAATGTATTCTAAAAATGTAGCGCAAGTGACTATGGATTATATTTAAAAGAAATTTTTAAAAAATATTGATTAGAACAAAAGTTATTTYATTTGTCAGAATGTCAGATCTCTTTGGGACAGTGGCGGCTCGTTATGGTAGGCAAGTGAGGCTCAGCCTCACCTAAGAATTGTATAGAAAAAGGAGGGACATATTCTATAATTATTGTTATTTCCAATCAAATTCAAGAATATTAAATTACTCAATAATATATTATACATTTTAAAATACAAAATCTTTTTGTTATTAATATTATTATACATTATTAAGTTTGGGAAACCCTGTATATATACACTAATTCGGTTTGTTTTAACATAAATAATAAATAATTTTAACCCAATTATAGAATTAATTAATAATTATAAACTTTAGTAATCGGTTAATTATAGTTTGTTTTTTCTACTCTAATTTAAAAAAAAAAAAMCCACAAACTTCAATATTTATTATATTAATATTTACAAAAATAAGATTATGGTTTAACTTTTTGAGAGTTAATGTATATTTCCATTTTAATCTTATTGTGTTTTATATTTTAGCATTTAGCATGGCATATACCTACTTCAAGTACTATGGCTAAATTGGGTACAAATGACAAAAACTTTATAAAACTTTACATGGAACTTCTAAGGTTATTCAAAAATGACTCGTCCTGTTTACATGYGTGTTACCCTCTTCCTCATCATCCAAAATCTGGTAATTCTTTGTGTATATTTAATTTTTAATTTAATTGTTGTTTTATTAATTTTCCATTATTTTATTACTAGATATATTATTTTGTATTAGTACAAACGGTAAACCAGTAGCTATTCCTGAAACAATGAAAAATAGAACTGTATTCAATGATTTCCAGAAACCACCAAACTTAGGAAAATGGTTTGCTGTAATGACACTTGTGAGAAATTCGGTACTTTATTATAGTAATGAATATAATGGTTTAACATCTTGTAAAATCAGACAGCTAAAGAAACTTGGCTATGAGCCAATTTTGGTAAGAATTTGTGTATATATAATTGTAAAGTATTATGGTAGAAATAACATTGATATCAGTACCTAAAACAACCTACATCATGCTTAAGTCTGATTATTTTCTTTTTAATAAAATAATTTATAAACAACTCTTATAACACTGGCCTCTAAATTAAAGTGCAAATTACTCCTGTTTAATGTTTATTCATATTTTGTTTTGTTGCAATAGATTTGTTTTTAAAATATACTATACTATAGTGTTTCTGATTATATTTTGTTTGTTTATTGGTCAAGATTAAAATCATATCTACATAAATGTCTCTCATGAACCTATTCATATACATAAAAATAAAAATAAATATTTGTGAAAAATAACAATTTATGTAAAATATGCGCTTATCAAATAATAATGATTTGAAATGATAGAGTTTTTGTAAAATGTTTTCCCATTCCTACATAAACATAACTATTTATTAAAATTKTTGTCTTAAGTTTAAAAAAAAATAATGTAATAATTCATATTGCTAACAATGCTAACAATATTACTGCCACAGCATTATAGCAATCAATTAGATTATTCAAAGAAAAACATGCATATTTTCAGAAGCATAGTTCCTAATTAATATTATTATATCCATGTAATTTATTTTGGTATCAATCAAGGTATTATTATAATTTTGTATGTAACTTAAAATAATTTTATAATTCTGATKAATTTACAGTTTACTGTTAAAGAGCTGGGAACTGAATGTGACTTTCAAACATTATTATCTGACAAATTCAAGAGTCATGGAATAATTGTTAATTAACAATTTTTAAGGGTTAGTTTTTGTTTATTTTCAATTGATAAATACTTTCATATTATTCTATTGTTAATAAATTATTTCAGATAATTGCATTGTGTTTCACTATTATTATTTTTTATAATTATTAACATAAAATGTTAATAATTTAGTTATGGTATACTTCTAAAATATAAGAACTACTTCTAATTATTAATTTTATCATATATTAATTGGTACTGAGTTGATGAATGATCCTTTAAAAACRTGATTATAATACTTACCCAGTAAACATGTGAATGTCTATTATATACAATTTTTTAGATCAAAATATCTATTTTTGATGTATAATAGATGTTCTTTTTATGTTCTAAAATAAGTCTAAATGAGACAACTATTTAAAGTCTAAGTGAATATTGTTAATATACGTGTTTAAGACTGTCTTTATTGGTATACAAACAAGCATTTTAGATGCAAATAAACTATCTATTATTTGTATA